CAGTGGGGGGGGGGTGAAGGGGGGGGGTAGTTGCTGAAAGGAGGGGTGAAGGAAGGGGGGGGGTTGTTGCTGAGTAGTGGGGGGAGATGGAAGGGGGGGTGTCTGAGTAGTGGGGGCTGATTGAGAGGGGGAGGTGTTGCTCAGTGGGGGGAGGGGGTGATGGAAGGGGGGGGTGTTGCTCAGTGGGGGGAGGGGGTGATGAAAGGGGGGGTGTTGCTCAGTGGGGGGAGGGGGTGATGAAAGGGGGGTGATTTGGTGAGGTTTGGTGACTTTTGGGGTGCTAGGCAGTGAATTGGGGGGGGTAGGGGGTGAGTAGTGGGTGTGGCTAAGAAATAAGGGGCAGTGGGAGGGTTCAGTGAAAGTTTTTCTGGATCTCTGATTGGTGGATGTGAGGGAACTCTCGCAGTGCCCCCCCCCCCCCCCCCCCCCCACGTGCTGCCATCTGATGGGGGGGATCTGTAATAGAACCTGCGGGGGGGGGGGGGGGCAGCGCACAGTATGGGGGAGGGGGGTGTTCTGGGTTTGTAGTGATGAAGGTGTTAACGATGTGTTGTGGGCGGGGTCGGCTCACACCGTCTGTCGGAGGGCTGGGCTCAGGATTATGGAGTGGGCGGGGATACCATGGAGGGCGGTTCAGGGCGGAGATTTCTCAATTTCCTTCTTGAGAAGGGACGGGTTACGGAGGGGGGCGGAGCAATGGCTGCATTGGGGCGGTGCTAGCCAGAACGTTTCTCATCTTCCCTCTCGGAGGGGCGGGTCTAGACTATGATGAGGGCGGTGACAGGGGGCGTGTTGGTCTTGATCGAGCTGGCGAGGACTATGAAGGGGGGCGTGACTGGCTCTTGGAGGAGGCGTGTCGGTGTTGTGTTGTGGGCGGGGTGACGGCGGTGTTGGGGCGGGTTTGGGTCGGTAGGGCTCAGTGATGGCCTCTCGGCGGATCGGTAGAAGATGAGAGCGGACACCGTCCTCCTGATCGGCGCCCTCCTGTCCCGGGCACCCCGCACTGCCGCCGGTAAGTGCCGCTGAGGGGGCGGGGACTTCTGATACAAAGTATCTGGGGGAGGGGCGGACTGATACAATGTATCTTCTGCATACCGGGGGGGGGGGTGTCCCCAGAGATCCATAGAAGTGATCGGAGGAGATCTTCACCGATAATCGATCGTTTATCGAATTCATATTTATTATTCATCGGATAGAAATCGATATTCGACCCCCAAACATTTCTCGGATCGCAGATCTCCGATGTGGCGGCTGCTTTAGTTTTCGTTCCTTTGATGATCCGGCCAGAAAGTCTGTTGTGTTATATCAGAACAAGCTCTCCAGCAGATGTAACAGTTAGAGGAGTGAGACGATTTTTTAGGAAAGTGTCAGGGAGTTATTTAACCCCTCCCCCCTCCAGAGGATCCCCCCCTCTCCAGAGGATCCCCCCCACCTTGCCCTCCAGAGGATCCCCCCCCCCCCCCCCCCCCACCACCAGGCCATTTGTTGCATTACGGTGCTGCGTTAATTTAACTAACAATTGCGCGGTCGTGCAACGCGGCACCCAGATGACATTTACATCCTTTTTCCCCCACATACGGAGCGTTCTTTCGGTGGGATTGGATCCCCTCTGCGGTTTTTATTTTTTGCGCTATAAACAAAAAAAAGGACGACAATTTTGAGAAAAAAAACAATATTTTGGACATTTTGCTATAAAACACGTCCAGGGAAAAAATGTAAAACAAATTTCATCATAAATTTCAGCCAACATGTCTCCCGCTGCGTGCCTTCGCTGTCGCGTCCCGCTCCGTGTCTTCGCTGTCACGTCCCGCTCCGTGTCTTCGCCGTCGCGTCCCGCTCCGTGTCTTGTCGCCGCTCCGTGTCCGCTGTCCGTGTCTTCGCTCCGTCTTCGCTGTCGCCCCGCGCTCCGTGCCTTCGCCGTCACGTCCCCGCTCCGTGTCTTCGCTGTCGCACCCCGCTCCGTGCCTTCGCCGTCACGTCCCGCTCCGTGTCTTCGCTGTCGCACCCCGCTCCGTGCCTTCGCCGTCACGTCCCGCTCCGTGTCTTCGCCGTCCCCGCTCCGTGTCTTCGCTCCGCCCCGCTCCGTGTCTTCGCTGTCGCACCCCGCCGCTCGTGCCTTCGCCGTCACATCCCGATACGTGGAAATTCATTGGTTTACGGGAAAGTTATATCGTCTACAAATGGCGGGATAGATACTGGGATTGTGATACTAGTAATGGTGGCGATCAGCGACTTATAGCGGGACTGCGGCGGGCATTCTGACACGGGGGGAGGGAGGGGGACTGACTTGGTGTCACTGACATCCCCAGTGACACCAATACAGTGATCTGTGCTAATAAAAAGCCCCGACACTGTACTAATGGCACTGGGCAGGAAGGAGTTAACATCTGGGGCCATCAAAGGGTTAACTGTGTGCTGTGTGTGTTTCACTGTACGCATGCTGCTATGCAGAGCCATACAAAGCAGTGTGCCGGTGCTGACAGGGGAGAGATCCGTGCTGTTTACATACAAGTCTCTCCCACATTGGAAATCCTCAGAGATCGCCGGCACCCGGCTGGGACCCGGTGATTGACAGCCGAGGCCACGAATGGCGGCGCGGGTGGGGCACGTGCGCCCCGTACCTGGAACTGCGAAGTCACGTGTATATATATGATTGTGCGCACCCTGCCGCCCCGGAGCAGGAGGTTTGCTATAAGGCGGCACGGAATCGCTTCCATGAAAAACTTTGCGTTTTTATAGAAATAGACTTCAATGGAGACGCCGCAGAAATACATGGAATGCGATTTTGATGCGTTTTTGCGGTTTAATCTGCTCAGCAACAAGTTGGAACCCCCCCCCCAAATAAAATGTGCCATAAACAGCACTGCAGAAAATGGATCAAATGCAAACTGCATAGGTGAGTGCTGAGCCTCAGGGGCGGCTCACTGTAGAAACGCAGTCCATATACGTTCCGGATGTCTCCACATGTGCGTTATTGACGCATTCGGATGCTTTTTTTTGATGCATTCCGGTGTGTTTTTGATGCATTTTTAACATGTTTTTTCCCCTCTCTTTTAAAATTGAGACATGTGCGTTCTGGTGCAATTTTGATGCATTTTTGACGCGTTCAAGTGCGTCTTGACATGTTTCAGTGTGTTTTTCATGCATTTTTTATGTTCCGGTGCGATTTTGATGCATTTTTACGTGTTCCAGTGTGTTGTTGATGCGCTCCAGTTCATTTTTTCCCAACTTTTTAAATTGGGACATGTGCGTTTGATGCATTTTTGACATGTTCTGGTGCGTTTTTGATGCATTTTTGACACGTTCTGGTGCGATTTTGATGCATTTTTGATGCGTTCCAGTGCATCTTGACACATTTCGATGTGTTTTTTCATGCATTTTTTACATGTTCCAGTGCAATTTTGATGCATTTTTGACGTGTTCCAGTGTGTTGTTGATGCGCTCCAGTTCATTTTTCCCAACTTTTTAAATTGGGACATGTGCGTTTGATGCATTTTTGACATGTTCTGGTGCGTTTTTGATGCATTCCAGTTTTTTCCCCTCTTTTTAAATTGGGACATGTGCTTTCCAGTGTGTTTGATGCATTTTTGACACGCTTCGGTGTGTTTTTGATGTTCTGGTTGCATTTTTTGACACGTTCCAGTGCGATTTTGATGTGTTTTGACGCAATCCGGTATGTTTTTGATGCATTCCAGTTACTTTTTTCCCCCTCTTTTTGATGTGTTTTGACTTTTTTTTTTTTTTTTTTTTTTTTTTTTTTTTTTTTTTTTTTTTTTTTTTTTTTCATTTCAAATCGGGTCATGTGCGTTCCGGTGCGTTTTTGATGCGTTTTACCGCATTACCATACAGTTCTTTGCAGGAAAAATGCCGCCTGTTCTACTTTTTTTTTTTTTTTTTTTTTCTCCTGCCACCGGAACGCACTGGAACTACAAGCACTGATGTGATCGATAACACTGACAACCAGATCACCGACTTTCTGTGCGTTTTGAATGCAGAAAAAAAGCAACTGAACCGCATGGAGTGTGAAAGCGGTTCCTAGTACAGGGGGGGTGTTAATGGCCGGATCACCGGGAGAAAAGAAACCGAATGCAGCCGCCGCAGGTAACGACGACGGGGAAGTGCAATCTGTGAGGTTTCTGGTTTGAGGTGTAATACGGCTTTAAGTGGCATCTGTCATTTGTGTGTGGAGGGGGGGCCGGGGGGGTCAGTGCCATCACACAGTCCTGGAAGGGGGGTGCAGAACCCTTAGACAGTGGTGGGGGAAGCCATTGGATATCCTTAGGGGTAAAGGTATGGGGGGGGGGGCAGTGCCGTCACACAGTCCTGGGGGGGGGGGGGGGGAGCGAAGCCATTGGTTGATGTTGGGGGGAGCCATTGGACATTCCTGGGTGGTAAAAGTGGGGTTGGGGGGGGGCAGTACTATCACACAGTCCTGGCGGGAGGGGGTACAAAGCCATTGGACAGTTTTTTTTGGGGGGGGAGCAGAGTGCCATTGGACAGGATTGGGGGGGGTAATTGGACTGTTAGGGGGGAATGAGGGGGGGGGGGGGTCAGTGCCATCACACAGTCCTGGGGGGAAGGGGGGGGGCAGAGCCATCTGGATACGTCCTGTGCTGGGGGAAGCAGAGTGCCATTGGACGGAAATGGGGGGGGGGGGGGTAGTACATTAGACAGTCTTGGGGGGGGGCACTGGACTGTCCTGGGGGTAGGGGGGGGGGGACAGTGCCATCACACGGTACTTGCTGGGGGAAGCAGAGCCATTGCACTGTCCTGGGGAGAGAGGGAAAGGACAGTGCCAGCCCTGGGGATGGGGGGGGGCATATGGGTCAGTACCAGCACACAGACACCCCCCCCCCCCCCCCCAGGACATTTCCCCTCCCCCATCTGACTGCCCTCCTTTCTCTCCCTCAGGTGCCAATGTGTGCTCCGGCCGCACCATCACCGTCACATCATGCCAGGACTGCCTCCCTCCTCCACCCTTCCTGCGCCTGGTGCTCCCAGGAGGTAAGTGCACCAACCTCCGCTCTGTTCACTGCTGGTGAATGTCATGGGGCCCCGGGGCCCAGAGATCTGACCGATCCGGTGTCAGCCCATCCCACTGATCTGTGTAATCCCGGCGCTCCGATCCCTCCGCAGATAGGGGGAGTCAGACACTGCCGGAGATAAACATTGTAAAGTGGGGGCAGTGCCAGTCCTGGGGGGGGGCAGTGACATCAGAGGGAGCTGTTTCAGTCCAGGGGAGGAGCCGATACACCTGTGCAAGACTGAGGGGGAGGAGCCGGTACACCTGTGCAAGACTGAGGGGGAGGAGCCGGTACACCTGTGCAAGACTGAGGGGGAGGAGCCGTTACACCTGTGCAAGACTGAGGGGGAGGAGCCAGTCCACCTGTGCAAGACTGAGGGGGAGGAGCCAGTCCACCTGTGCAAGACTGAGGGGAGGAGCCAGTCCACCTGTGCAAGACTGAGGGGGAGGAGCCAGTCCACCTGTGCAAGACTGAGGGGGAGGAGCCGGTCCACCTGTGCAAGACTGAGGGGGAGGAGCCGGTCCACCTGTGCAAGACTGGAGGGGAGGAGCCGGTCCACCTGTGCAAGACTGGAGGGGAGGAGCCGGTCCACCTGTGCAAGACTGGAGGGGAGGAGCCGGTCCACCTGTGCAAGACTGGAGGGGAGGAGCCGGTCCACCTGTGCAAGACTGGAGGGGAGGAGCCGGTCCACCTGTGCAAGACTGGAGGGGAGGAGCCGGTCCACCTGTGCAAGACTGGAGGGGAGGAGCCGGTCCACCTGTGCAAGACTGGAGGGGAGGAGCCGGTCCACCTGTGCAAGACTGGAGGGGAGGAGCCGGTCCACCTGTGCAAGACTGGAGGGGAGGAGCCGGTCCACCTGTGCAAGACTGGAGGGGAGGAGCCGGTCCACCTGTGCAAGACTGGAGGGGAGGAGCCGGTCCACCTGTGCAAGACTGGAGGGGAGGAGCCGGTCCACCTGTGCAAGACTGGAAGGGAGGAGCCGGTCCACCTGTGCAAGACTGGAGGGGAGGAGCCGGTCCACCTGTGCAAGACTGGAGGGGAGGAGCCGGTCCACCTGTGCAAGACTGGAGGGGAGGAGCCGGTCCACCTGTGCAAGACTGGAGGGGAGGAGCCGGTCCACCTGTGCAAGACTGGAGGGGAGGAGCCGGTCCACCTGTGCAAGACTGAAGGGGAGGAGTCGGTACACATGCGCAAGACTGGAGGGGGCTGGAGTTCTCCTTTTAATGTCATTATTCTGCTGTAGAGAGCTGTGATTGGTCGGAATGTCTGGATAGTACAATGGAGTTGATCTCCCCCGGGGTGACCTGTGACCCCGCGTCCAATCATCTGTGGATAATCTGTGTTTCATGATCTGAGTTGCCTAGCTGAGCGCTCTCCTGCCGGCTGTCCTCCTGTGAGCGGTGGAAGCTGCACACTGTTAGATGTTGTGTACAATGACGGTTCCCACAGATCTTCTCATCTTCTGGACTCGCTACATTGTGTCCCTTTATATGGATCTTCTGTATGTGGAAGGATACATGCGTGTGTCCCGTATGCGTGCCGCCCTGCGTGTGTCCCGTATGCGTGGGGTGTTCTCCCTGCCCTGCGTGCGGGGGGGGGTGTCCTCCCTGAACTGTTCTCCTGATCTCTGCGTGCGGGGGTGGGGTGGGGGGGTGTTCTCCCTGAGCTCTGCGTGCGGGGGGGGGGGAAGGTTTTCTCCCTGATCTCTGCGTGCGGGGGGGGGGGGGTGTTCTCCCTGAACTCTGCGTGGGGGGGGGGGGGTGTTCTCCCTGAACTCTGCGTGGGGGGGGTGTTCTCGGAACTCTGCGGGGGGGGGGGGTGTTCTCCCTGAACTCTGCGTGGGGGGGGGGTGGTTCTTCTCCCTGAACTCTGCGTGCGGGGGGGGGGAAGGTGTTTCTCCCTGAGCTCTGCGTGCGGGGGGGGGGGGGGTGTTCTCCCTGAACTCTGCGTGCGGGGGGGGGGAAGGTGTTCTCCCTGAGCTCTGCGTGCGGGGGGGGGAAGGTGTTCTCCCTGAGCTCTGCGTGCGCGGGGGGGGGAAGGTGTTCTCCCTGAGCTCTGCGTGCGGGGGGGGGGAAGGTGTTCTCCCTGAGCTCTGCGTGCGTGCGGGGGGGGGGAAGGTGTTCTCCCTGAGCTCTGCGTGCGGGGGGGGGGGAGCTCTGCGTGGGGGGGGGGGGAAGGTGTTCTCCCTGAGCTCTCGCGTGCGGGGGGGGTTCTCCTGAGCTCTGGGCGGGGGGGGGAAGGTGTTCTCCCTGAACTCTGCTGTGCGGGGGGGGGTGTCCCTCCCTGAACTCTCGTGTCCTCCCTGAACTCTGCGTGCGGGGGGGGGGGGGTGTTCTCCCTGAACTCTGCGTGGGGCGGGGGGGGGGGGGGGTGTTCTCCCTGAACTCTGCGTGGGGGGGGGGGGGTGTTCTCCCTGAACTCTGCGTGCGGGGGGGGGGGGTGGTTTTCTCCCTGAGCTCTGCGTGCGGGGGGGGGGGGTGTTCTCCCTGAACTCTGCGTGGGGGGGGGGGGGTGTTCTCCGTGCGGGGGGGGGGAAGGTGTTCTCCCTGAACTCTGCGTGCGGGGGGGGAAGGTGTTCTCCCTGAGCTCTGCGTGCGGGGGGGGGGAAGGTGTTCTCCCTGAAGGCTCTCTGCGTGCGGGGGGGGGGAAGGTGTTCTCCCTGAGCTCTGCGTGCGGGGGGGGGGGGGGGAAGGTGTTCTCCCTGAGCTCTGCGTGCGGGGGGGGGGAAGGTGTTCTCCCTGAGCTCTGCGTGCGGGGGGGGGGGAAGGGTTGCGGGGGGGGGGGGGGGGAAGGTGTTCTCCCTGAGCTCTGCGTGCGGGGGGGGGGGAAGGAGGTGTTCTCCCTGAGCTCTGCGTGCGGGGGGGGGGGGAAGGTGTTCTCCCTGAGCTCTGCTGCGCGTGCGGGGGGGGGGGAAGGTGTTCTCTCTGAGCTCTGCGCGGGAGGTGTTCTCCCTGAGCCCCTGCGCGGGGGGGGGGGGGGTGTTCTCTCCTCTGAAACCCTGCACGGGGGGGGGGGGTGTTCTCCCTGAACTGTGTGGTGCTCGCAGTGTGCGGAGGGAGTTCGGCAGTCACTGCGATGTTTTGCTCTGCACACACCACACATGTCGCTCCTCCTGGTTGATGTCGGCGTGTCGTTCCTGGCAGTGGGGGTTCCGGGCTGTGGTCGCGGTGACACATGTTCTCGTTCTCCCCGTTTACTGTCGTGTTGTCAGGAACAGAGAACGACTTCCATGTCTGTCATTATGTGTGATGTGCGGTTGGTAGAAATGCAGCGACTTTTTTTTTCTTTGATACGATGTAACCCGGAAATCTTCATCCAATCTCCATGTATATCTGTAGAGAATGATCGGAATTTCTATCACAATGTCCCGTCTACTGACAAGAGAAGCAGATGTACAGTGCAGGAAATGTGTATTTGCTCCCCGGCTGATGCTGAATGTTCGCCCCTCACACAGAAATGATCGGTCTAACAATCTAACAATGGAATGTTCGCCCCTCACACAGAAATGATCGTCTAACAATGGAATGTTCGCAAAACCCTCACACAGAAATGATCGGTCTAACAATGGAATGTTCGGTGTAACACTGAGAGACAGAATACAACAACAAATTCAGCAGAAATGCGTCTAACAAATGATGACGGATCTGCATGTTCATGAGGGAAAGAAGGATTTGATCCCCTTCACAAAACATGACTTAGTACTTGGTGACAAATCCCTTGTTGGCCATCACAGAGGTCAGACGTTTCCTGGAGTTGGTGGAGGAACCCTTGTTTGGCAATCACAGAGGTCAGACGTGTCCTGGAGTTGGCGAGCACAGAGGTGAGATGTTCCTTGCAGTTGGTGGAGGAACCCTTGTTGGCGAGCACAGAGGTGAGATGTTCCTTGCAGTTGGTGGAGGAACCCTTGTTGGCGAGCACAGAGGTGAGACGCTTCTTGTAGTTGGTGGAGGAACCCTTGTTGGCGAGCACAGAGGTGAGACGTTCCTTGTAGTTGGTGGAGGAACCTTGTGGCGAGCACAGAGGTGAGACGCTTCTTGTAGTTGGTGGAGGAACCCTTGTTGGCGAGCACAGAGGTGAGACGTTCCTTGCAGTTGGTGGAGGAACCCTTGTTGGTGAGCACAGAGGTGAGACGTTCCTTGCAGTTGGTGGAGGAACCCTTGTTGGAGAGCACAGAGGTGAGACGTTTCCTGTAGTTGGTGGAGGAACCCTTGTTGGAGAGCACAGAGGTGAGACGTTTCCTGCAGTTGGTGGAGGAACCCTTGTTGGTGAGCACAGAGGTGAGAAGCTCCTCGTAGTTGGTGGAGGAACCCTTGTTGGCGAGCACAGAGGTGAGACGTTTCCTGTAGTTGGTGGAGGAACCCTTGTTGGAGAGCACAGAGGTGAGACGTTTCCTGCAGTTGGTGGAGGAACCCTTGTTGGCGAGCACAGAGGTGAGACGTTTTCTTGTAGATGGCTCCCAGGTTTGCACACATCTCAAGAGGGATTTTGGTCCACTCTTCTTTGCAGAGCTTCTCTAAATCCTTGAGGTTTCTTGGCTGTCGCTTGGCACCTCGAAGTTTCAGCTCCCTCCATACATTTTCTATAGGGTGAAGGTCTGGAGACTGGCTAGGCCACTCCATGTGTGCTTCTAGGGCCGCTCCTTTGTTTCCTTGGTTGTATGTTTTGGGTCATTGTCATGCAGGAAGACCCATCCACGACCCATCTTCAGTGTTCGGGACTGAGGGAAGAAGGTTCTCATCCAAGATTTTACAATACATGGCCCCGTCCATTGGCCCTGCAATGTCGGCCTGTACCTTTAGCAGGGAAACAGCCCCAAAGCATAATGTCTCCACCTCCGTGCTGGACTGTAGGGATGGTGTTCTGAGGGTCATAGTCAGCATTTTTCTTCCTCCAAACACGGCAAGTTGAGTTAATGCCAAAGAGCTCAATTTTGGTCTCATCTGACCACAGGACTTTCTCCCAATCCTTCTCTGAATGCTCATTGGCAAACTTCAGACTGGCCAGGACATGTGCCTTCTTGAAGTGAGGGACCTTACAGGAACTGCAGGATTTCAGTCCATGGCGACGTGTTGTGTTACCAATGGTTGGTTTGGCGACTGTGGTCCCAACTGCCTTGAGACCCTTCACAAGCTCCTCCCGTGTAGTTCTGGGCTGGTCCCTCACTTTCCTCATGATCATCCTTACCCCATGAGGTGAAATCTTGCATGGAGCTCCAGACTGAGGGCGATTGATGGTTATTTTGTATTTGTTTCATTTGTGAATAATTGCTCCAACAGTTGTCTCCTTCTCACCAAGCTTCTGGCTGATGGTCTTGTAGCCCATTCCAGCCTTCTGCAGGCCTACAATCTTCTCCCTGACGTCCTTTGACAGCTCTTTGGTCTTGCCCATGGTGGTGATGAGGTTTGGATGGAAGAAAGAGATTCTGTGGACAGGTGTCACGAGCTGTCGTTGGGAGGACCTTCTTCCATTGACAGGACTGATCTGTGTACCACATGAGCACATCGTCGGTCTGTGGGAGCCAGAATCATTGGTGGTTGGTGGGGATCAAACACTTATTCTACTCACCGAACTGCAACTCCATTTATAACATTTGTATCGAGTTTTTTCTGGATTTTTTGGTTGATATTCTGTCTCTATCATTTATATA